GGGGGGCGCACCTTTGAAGGGACATAGACTAGACGTCTAGAGTGGCCTGAGCCAAAGGGTGCCTGGCTGCAGCGGGGCTGATCAGATGAACAATGTACAGGGCTCTGTCTGCAGTGTCAACCACTAACGTCTGTCTTGCTCTGTCTGTGCCTCTGTTTGGCAGGTCATGCTTCTAATAGACATCGAGCTGGCTTACATGAACACAAACCATGAGGATTTCATTGGCTTTGCCAAGTAAGCACCCACATCCTATTGCCTCCTCTTCTCTGCATGAGTTTCCTGTGGCTCTGTCCTATAGCTGCTCCAGTAAATGGGTTGCAAAGGCCCTGGTGCAGATGCTGTGGTCCCAAAGTATGGTTCAGCTCTGAGTATTGCTTGCTTTTCAGTGGCTCTGTATTGCAAGGCTGGGGAGGAGAACAGGGATGTGTAGAAGGGGGATTTAAGAGTATGAGGGCTGTGTTGGGGGGAAAAAAGCAGAAGCAGTGTAGGGTTAGTGATCCAAGTGTGGTTCAGGTGGGAGTGAGAAGATGAGTAGACCAGGCTGAGACAGCAGATGGAAATAGACTGGGTTATTAAGGCTTGGAAGTCAATGGTGAGGTGCATGAACTCACTGTAGCAGCTATCTGATGGGAGCAGGATTCAGGTGATGAAGAGCCTGAGGGGTTTTGAATGTCTCTGCTGTTGTTTTCAGTGCTCAGCAGAGGAGCAGCCAGATGAGCAAGAAGAAGGCAGCTGGCAACCAGGTAGGCCAAGTTCTATCTCCTTCACTGCTGCAAGAAGGACATGTTTGCTACCTGGAAGCTACCAGGTGGACAAGTGCTGGGCTGGATGCAGCAGTGCTCTAAGTGTTTTTTTATTGGTTTTTTTTTTGTTGGTGGTGGTGGTTTTTACTCATCAAACTCTGTTTATACCTGGAGGATAGTGTTTTAGGCTCACTGCAGTCAGGAAGAACTGAGCATGTAGCAGCAATGGAAGGAAAGTGTTGTAGAGGGAAATGGATGCTTGATAATCAAGATCTGATCTTGCTTTTCTGGTAGAAATCCCTATTAATGTTCTATAAATCCCTGTTTGTTCAGCCCCTTCACTAGCTGTGCTAACTCTTCTATTGAGGTCAGGGTTACAGGACACTAGGTCTGAACTGTTACAGTACAGAATTCTTTTCTAGTTGTCTCTCATCAGTGGTATCTACTTTCTGGAAAGGGATTTCAAGAGAGTTCATGGACTCTTTTCTGGAAAACTTCACTGGAAATACTTAAACCCCTGTACAGGGAGACAAAGGGTGATTATAGCGATGGTTGCACTGGGTATGTATGAGAACACATCCATGGGAGGAGACAGCAGTGGCGGGGAGGAACTTGCGGAACTGTATGGAGCGTACATACAACTAAAAAGGGGCTAATGACACCTTCTCCCAGATTTGCTGGGAATGTGGCAAGGCTGTCTAGGCTAGAAGATCTTGTAGAAACAAAGCCTTACAAGCAGCTTCATAGAGAATGGAAGCAAATGCTTTTGCTTAGTCTTTTTAAAGACATGCACTCCTGACATCCATCCTCTTCATAACATACTTGACCACCTTTCCCTGCATGTAAACATGCAGACTGTTTCAGTACTGTTGGCCAACCATCCATTTCATGGTATCTCAGAGCAGCTATAGGGAACCCCATCCTCTGCAGTATACCTTATAGAAGAGCTGAGTGTAAAAGTGCAAAGGGCAAACTCTGGATCTACCTGTAAAGCGCTTTGGCTTTCCTGTTAGCAGATTTTATTTTGGGATGGGGGTTGCTTTTGTTAACACCTGGGGTAAAAGATTTGCTACCAGCTTCCAATTTATTTTATTTTATTTTTGAGCCTCTCTTCTCCTGCTCCAGCTTTCCTAGTAACAATCTCTCCTCTCTTTGCTCCTCTCCTGCTCTCTGCTCTGCTGCTGTTGCTATGGTTCCCCTTTGCAGGATGAGATCCTGGTGAGTAGAAGGCCACTCAGCAGGTTGTGCTAATGAACATTAATGTTGCATCTGGGAAGGCAAGAACAGTGCATAGACAAATTATTCCCTCTGCTGCTGAATGGGGAGAGGAGGGCAGCTGGCAGTAGACACAGGTGAAGCAGAAATGAGGTGAAAAGATAGTACACTGAGGAAAAATTCAGAACTGCTGGTACATCTTGTGAGTGGGTGGAGATAAAAAGCAGTGATCCAAGGATGTGTGGTTCTGTTTCACTGCCCCCTCCTGTCCACAGAGAGAATAGGACTATCTCGGCCTTAACAGTAGGCATGAGGTGAATCCAGTGCTCCTACGTTTACCTTTATAGGGTAAATTGACAATTAAAAGGATTGTGTACCTCTGTGGTAGGGTGCTCACACAGTGCAACTTGGTAATATGCAGTGCAGTTGCATGGTTTTTCAATACCATGTTGTTTTCAGCAAGCACATCCACACAACAAGGTACACACGCATAATGCATGCGGATGTTTTTGGTTGTTAACAGTGCAGTAATACATATAAAAGCTAATGCATTTAAGGTGACACATACTTGCATTTGATTACTGCATGTGTGAGGCTCTAAACCAGCACTTAGTGAATTGGAGTTCTGTAGAGAGTAATAGCCTGGCTTTGTTACAGACTAAACTTAAAGGAACTCGTTTTGCCCTAAATTAATATGACTAATCAAATACCTGGGTATGATGAAGTCCAGGGTACTAATTCCAGATGCACCGTTTTGTTCTGTTATACTTAGTGTCTCCTTTTTACTAAACTCAATTCTTTCTGGGTTGCTTGCCCATCTCTTCTTGAACTGGTTCTCCCCACCACTGAGTCTGGTGAAGCACTCCACGTGTGCAGTGTGCCAAAAGGTGTGCTGGTGTCCTGGTTTCCTCTAGGCATGGCCTTTTCTGGGTGTGTTGCTGTGATCTGGTGCTTGTAGGTTGTGCCGGTGTCCGAGGCACTCCTGATGCAGTTCTTCTGCATCACTTTCCCCTTGGCAGAGGGTATAATGCACAGCACTGCCAGGTTCCTTCCTGTGTCCTTTTTATACTATTCCTGGCCCTTTCAAGGCAAAGACCTTCACTGGCCAGTTGAGTGGGGGGCTCCTCTGGCAGCAGCAGAGAGCACGGTGTTCCTCGTCTTTCCATACTACTCTGTATATGGATACCCTCTGATCTTTCCTCTGTCGCCTAAGGCCAGGCTTTTAGGGCCCTTGTTAATGTTCACTGCTTCCACCCCCTTAGGTCATCCGAAAGGGCTGGCTCACCATCAACAACATTGGGATCATGAAGGGTGGCTCCAAGGAGTATTGGTTTGTCCTGACAGCAGAGAACCTCTCCTGGTACAAGGATGATGAGGTGAGTAGCTTAACTCTGTGACTTGAGACTCGGGCATCTGATGAGGATAAGGCCTTCGGTTCACTGTGTGTTACAGATGTATTTCCCAAGTACTGTCTGCAGCTTCTGACACAAGCTGAAACCATCCTTGGGCCGGGTTCCCTGGGGTCTCAGCACTGCTGAGCGTTTCTGAATTGATGCGGACGTGGCTTCTTTGACGCACAAGGAGTAACATCTGTGCTTGAAGCCCTGGCTCAGCAGAAAGTTGACAGACACTTGGAATGAATTTGACCTTTGTCTTGCTGTGGCAGCTGTGATCAAAGGTGACATGGGTTAGTTCCAAGACTTGGACTTTTTGGTATTTGTGGGGCATCCATGATTTTCCTGAAGGAGTATGGCAGAGGTTTTCATGCATCTCTCCTGGCCACAAGAAACAAGCTATCTCCTCTCTGAGCATAGCAACAGGAGCTGTGGAGCTGAAGCTGTAGCTCAGATGCCGGCTCCTTCTGACTTTGCATAAATTACTTAACCTCTCCAGGATTCAGTTGTTAAGTCTGCAAAGCAGGAGTGTCTTTTTTTAATGTTTTTATATTGAACATGCCAGTTAACATATTGCTTGTAAAATTATTTGAATTGTGTATGGTTAGAGTACTGCTGATCAAAAGTACAGTGATGTGTGGAATATCACTGATAGGAACAGGGACCTACTCTGTGGAGTTGCTTGAAAATCTTGAGTATTAGGAATTCTGGCATTGTGCTGTGGTGTCTTTCTGCTTCAGTGGTAAATAATATAATTGGACAGAATTGTCTCAGCTGAAATTATCACTGTCAAAAGTGTGTTGCTTCCTGTGCAAGAGAAAGGTAGATATGTCTTTTCTGATTACTTTGAAAAGGGAAGGAATGGCTGGATGGTTTTGGTAAGGACATGATCAAAAGGGTTAGCCCCACTCAATGTGCTGCGGGATGAAAGATGCCTGATATGATATAGTCATGCATTCTGAGTTGATCAGGGTTTCTGATAGCAAATAAAGAAACTGCTCTGCCCCTTACTGTGGTTTGTGTCCCTCAGGTGTTCTGAGGCACACAGTAGTGTGCCTGGGAGCTACAGCTAGGCCTGGCTTCTTGTCTAGTTTATATCAGTGGGCCTGTTTCATTCTCAGCAGGTGGAAATGATGACAAATATGTTGATGAATCAGCCTTTAAATATCACTTTCTGCATGGAGACTGCTGCAGTGCTGCTATGGATGAGCAGGCAGCAATTTCCTAATTAAAGAACCAGGCATCGAAACATCTTTTGCTAAATCAGTGTGTCTCTGCTGTAAGACCCCTGACCTTTGTATTCAGGGTTGCTTGGGGAGGCTCCACTTTCCTCTAGGTTGCATATGCAGGTCGAGTGGTTATAAACATCAAGTAGTTTAATCAAAGCCAGCTGCTACATCTGTATTGCAGAGATGATCAGAACTCCCTGTTCTTCCTCAGGGAGTGGGAGGGAGGGCTGCAGTGGGGATGTGTAAACTGTTGATAGATTCCAGTTGCTTGGGGTGGGGATTGTACCTCCCTTCCCTCCTGAGGGAGGGCAGCCTTGGGGGCCAATAGCAACTGGAGGTCTGCACCGTTTCCCTTCTGCATAGCAAGAGGTAGAGCTGCCTAATGAAAGCAGTTCCGGGCCAGCCTTGTTCCCTTAAACACAGGAGATCCAGCGCTGATGAGGTCTGAGCAGCATCTGAGAAAGGAGCCTTTGTCTTCAACTGAGTGGGAGCAGGGGGGAAAGGGAACCATATTATTTGCTTCCTCCCCAAGTTCAACTCCTTGATCACTGGCTGTTGTGAGAAAGGCAGCAACTTTGACCTGGACTCCATAGCTGAGTCAGGCTAAAAGTTGGTGCAGTTGAGGGGCAGCTTGGAGAGCCTTGAGCATGGGGATTCATATCCCAAACCTCAGTCCTGCATGGAGCTGGCTCCATCCTGAAGAGCTGTCTGCAGTGCATGGTCCTCTGTCAAATGGTTATTTTTGCATGTCTGGCCCAGACCTCTCCTTCTCCACCAATTCAGGAGGACTCCAGTCCTCTATGGCTCCTGAAATGTTCTCATGTGTTTTTAAAGGCTGTACACCATGATTGTTCTTCACTTAAGCTCCAGGAGGAAGGGGGAGGCTTTGTCTGCTCCACCCTGCACTTCTGTGGGCTCTCTTGTCCCAGTTCCCCTGTGCTCTGGCAGCTGTCCAGAGGGAACAAGGAGGGAGCTGAATCTGTCTTGTGCAGATGGAAGTACTGGTGGCAGAGCTGTGGGTGATGATGGGGGAAGGAGCAGGGTGAGAAGGTGTGCAGTGGGGTCAGGGTGAAGATTAGGCTAGTATTTCTGGAGCTGGGGGAAGTGGGGGCACAGCTTCTCCCTGCCTTGTCTTGCAAGCCAGGACCCAGAGTCTGCAGAATGAAGACATCTGGACCCCATTAGTGAAATACCAGTCTTTCAGCAATGCTGGTGTGTTTTTCCTCTGCCTCTGAATAAAGGAACTGAAACTTAAAATGTCTTAAAGGGCCCAGCATTACATGTTAGCAGGGATATATGGCTGTTGATGCTCTGGAGGGGCCTGAAGGAGTGTGCTGGGGAATGGGAGGGGAAGGAAAGAGCAGGCCAGGCGGGGGTGGAAAGTTGGCTCCCCACTCTGCCTTGTTGCCAAGAGCATGTGTGTGTGCTCCTGGGCTCTCTGTTTTTCTTCCTGTCTCCTTTCAATGAGTCAAACGCTGGCCCCATGGTAGAGCGGCCCCACAGAAAGCTGGCCTCCCAAGACCTGGAGACCCTTCTGAAGTACCTGCACCTCCTGAACCCTGTGGGATTATGCAGGAGGCCAGCAGTGGAAGGGAGAGGTGGGGAAGAGCCTGCTCTGGCTGCTGCCAATAGAGAGAGATTTCCTTGCTCAGCGAGGCCACAGCATCCTCAGGGCTGGAGCAGCAGCACAGCACACTGTCTTAACTGCTCAGCGAGCACCATAGTGGACATGATACAAGAACTTGTTTCAAATTGTCCTTCTGCCTGAATCTCTTACAAAATGCACAGTGCCCACTTCTCTGCAGGGCTTTCCCTCCTGCTGGAAAAGAGGGTCTATGAGCTGGGCTAGAGCTGCTGGTGATGGGGACCTTGTAGGCAAGATGCAACGAGCACTGTGCTCAGTGGTTCCTATTAGTAAAGCTTACTGCCTGCTGGAGGGGGACCCCTGTGCTCTCTGCTCTGCAAGGGTGACTGTGCTGGAGTGCCTGTGACTGTGCCACTATGCCAGAGTGTTTGTACAGCTGGGTGGATGGATATATCTGCTGTTTCCTTTGGGAATTTGTGTGAATGTACAATACAGATGGGACCTTCTGTCCTTACTTAGGTAAATCATGTACTAGAAATTTTGGGCTTGTAAGAACAGGTGACTGCATGAGAAGAATATGGCCTTATTTGCTTGTGTGAAAGTATTTGTGTTGCATGCAATGTCAGTGCATTTGAGTCCTCTGCGTGTACAGGAGGGGTGGGCACAGAGTTTTAGGTACTTCCAGGTGTGTCAGGGAGTGCTTCATATTCTTTTAAAAAAATGCTTGAACTCGAGCTCTTTCTCAGTCCTCATGCCTTCTCTTTTGCTCAAAGTACAAAGGTAGTCTTTCCTGTCCTGGGGAAGATTTGACCTTACTGACAGTCATTAGCTGCTTATTCTGTACCTGTCAATGTCTTGTACCCAATTCTAGTTTAAAAATAAATACATTGATCAATGCTGAGATTTGTTCCCCCACTATACACATGCTCCCCCTTCCCCCCCTCCCCCAACAGTCTATGTCCTTGAGGCACAGCTCAGCTGGTAGAAATCCTTTTGTCTCTGCTCTGATGCCCACGAGTCATCAGAAGCTTGCTGTGACAGGTCCAGCTGTAGCCAAGTTTTTGTACCCGCCTTGTTTAAAGACCATAGGAGCAGGTCTGCTCTGAGGTTCTTCCTCTCCTGCTTTCACACTGCTCTCAGGTGCTCTCTGGAACATGTTCCTTCTCTTTACATCCTCTGTGGAGCTCTTGCCTTCATTCACTCATCTTTTTTCACAAGTACATGTTTTCTCATGGATAATATCTTATGCAGTCTTAATCAGTCCTCATTTATGCTTTCACGGTTTCTCATCTTTCTTTTCCAGACAAACACCAAAGCAAACACAACTTCCAGAGTATCCAAACCTCCAACTTTCAATCCTTTGTGGGTTTTTCTTTATTAATGACCAGCACTCCTCATGATGTGAAATTCCCTTTCTCCAGTCACCTTTCTCTGCTTGATCCTGCCTTCTCAGGTAGCAAAGCACAGTGCGGTTGTAACTCTGCCAGGCCCATGTGTCTATCTCTGCATTTTATGGCAAAGTTTAGCATGTGAAACACAAGCCATCCTGAGCACAGCTACCCCTGGGACACGTGCATGAAGCTGAAAGAAATAACAGCTAAGAAGGGGATGAGAGAGATGGAGGAGGAATAGGAGGGTTGTGAGTAGACTGGTGAACAGGCAGGTAAAAGTGATGATCAGGCATGGCTCCAAAGGGTTATATCATCCCAGGCTGAGGGATGAGTGAACTTTGCATGCAGTTATCCCCACAGCCCACCCTCTCCAAGCATGTCCCTCTGCCGTGCAGGTGTTGCTGTCCCCGTGCAGCACTGGCAGTGTGTGGTGTATCCCAGCACAGCCTAACCAATGTGCAGACTACTGTACAATCTCGTAGTCCTGAACAGGTAGTCTGAACACTGGGCAGACGGAGTGGAGCCTCTGTGATCTGCTCTCCGGCTATCAGCAGCTCATTAGTCCTTTCCCCTCCCTGCTTTTGGGATGGGGTTTTAGGGACAGAGATGGGGTGAAAGAAAGTCCAAGTCCTGATTGAAGAAACATCCTCCTCTGGCAGCTGGGAAGAAGAAATACTGCTCTCTGCATGTTTCCAATTTAGAGCAAACTTCCAAGCTCCTTCCTCTTCAAGTGCTGGTGTCAGGCTGGTACCTGGTTTCCACCTGGGGTATGCTGCA